ATGAGTAAATTAATTAGTTAAACGGAATAGGAAAAACGCAAAAGTAGAATAAAAAAAAAAGTCAAAACTCAAAACTTTATTTTTATTTTAGTCGGGTAATTAGGCACGAAAGCTCCAAATGCGAAGTGATCAAAGAGAACAATAAAAATAAACAAAAGACTTCAATGAGTGCAAAACCTAAAGCTGCAACTGGCTGTAGGACGGATGAACCGAATATTTTCAAAAGGCAAGTAACTTGCGATATAAGTAATGAAGAGTGCAAAATTCAAACTATGGCAAGAAAATACCTTCTTTTTTCTGTAATACACCTCGAACCCAAGTAAGTAAGAGCCCAGTTCTGTACTATTTAGTTGAAGCAAAGGTTGTACAAATTTGCTAGCCTCTTCCAAAGGATCGCTGACTTTAAGCAATTTTTCAGTGTCAAGAGGTTCAGGAGCAAAACCATCTAGCTCAACATCAACCTAAAAATCACAAACATAAAAAACCCGCATATAATGCAAAAAACTTACGCTTCCTTTTTTTCAAATAATCTGATTTCACTAAACTATTTTTCTCAAGATCATCTGTCTAAACTGCGTGCACGGTAAAAGAAGCAAGTCTGTCTTTCATTCTACTTAAAGTTTGAGAAATATTTGCAAGAAAATAACTCAAACAATAGTTCATCAAAAAACTACTATAGAAAATAAAAAATTTTCCCAGAGCTTTTATGAATAAGAATTTCACGGTCAAAAGTCTATTTGTCCTGCGTAAAACAGCAGCTGATAAGTAAGTTAGTACTTCCAAAACTCATTGTTCTCAAGACCAAACCTTTTTCTGATTCTGAGGCTTCTGTTTAGCTGCCTCTTCGGCTTCTTTCGCTTTTTCTCGCTTCTGCTTCTTCTTCAGTTTTTTGAGTTCTGCAGCGCTCAATGTATCTTCTCCATTTTTCTTCGCTGGACTGAAGTCTTCTGGTCGATCGCACATTCGCAAGTAGATCTTTAAAAATACGGAGGAAGAAAAAGTAGCATAATTAGTTGACAATCAGTAATTAGCATTTTACACTTCTTACTCTAATTGCAACTTCAGCGGCCTGATAATAAAATTTGTGTTTACGGAGAACGTCTTCCAAACGAAGTAACTGAATATAAGCACATAACGTCATTTTTCGAACACAGTAAGTGTGAAAATCATACTGGTCTTCATACATGCCTATGAAATGCTGAAAAGACATTTAATTACTACCGCTTTAGCATATTAACTATAAAACCAGGAAAGAACAAAATGAATAAGGATACAAAACAAACTCTGTAAATCGTAAAAGGTAACGAAAAATATACGCAGAAAGACAGAAGCATAAGTAACTAACTCTATCAATCTCATGACATTTTTTCAGCGCCTCACCGTAATTGCCGATTCTTTCATATGCTCGTGCACATTCTATCTCATACCACATACACTGCATTTCATTTAGATTCTGCGAGGCATTCACTCCTTCCTAAAACCCTCATCTTCATAGTAATTAAAAACTCTAATACTACATTCTCAGACTTCTTTCGAAAACTTCATCTGATTAAACCCACCTGCACCGATTACTAATAAAGTGACTCACACTAAAAAATAAGAATAAAAATAACACTTTGAGCGTAAAAACCGTCGAATAAAAAGGCAAAAAAAAAAAATAGAAATAAATTTGTCTCGAGAAAATTACCAGAATACAAACAAAAAAACTCTTAATCTTTAAAGAAAGTAGTGAAAGAAAAAATTAATAAACCCGAGTGAACTTTGAGCACATTTGTTCAGCTTCCGAAATCATATTTGCACGTAACATATATTTTGCACACTTGCTATTGATGTATCTATCTGCAGTGTCTAGTGCCTGAGCCTGTTCCATTATTTTAGCAGCTTCATTTGGATCCCCAGCGTGCTGAAAAAAAAAAAAAACAAATTTTAACTGGAAATATTGAAATGAAATGAACAAGACACTTCTGTAACTTCAAGAGCCAAATAACTGAGGCTAGAGAAGAAGCACCTAGCCAGTAACGATATGAGGAAACTAACTTTACAAATTTTTGCTTTAATAGCGTAAAGTTCTATTAGGGTAGGAGTGTGTTCTAAAGCCTTGTTAATATAAAATTGAGCTTTCTCCGTCGATCCAAGTTTGTCATAATGCTGAGCAGTCAGATAATACAGCCATAAAACAGTTGTAGGTGACTCCGGCAAACCACTGCCTGAAAACACAATTGAAAAAACTGGAAAAAAAGATCTCAAAATAAATTTCGCAGTTTGTAAAAAGCTGAGTGATTGTGTGAAACAACACTGTACTATACCCAAAATAAAGCATAAAATTTTACTCTTCAAAATCTAAAACTGACAGCATTTTAGAATTTAAAACAAAAAGTAAACAAGGTGAAGGAGAAATTGACCGTCAAGAGATCTACCAGAATACCCGTTTTCGTCCATACGATTGAGAAAATCGACAAGTAATTTATCTAAGAATTCAACCTGGAAAAATTAAACGCGAGATTACAGGAATTACAAACTGCAAGGGTGCAAAATGGTGATGCTACTTAAGATGCAATACACAAAATTTCCCTTGAAGTATACTCAAAATTCTGACTAGTGTTTCAATAAACCAAACCAAGATTGATAAGGACAAGACAGCAGCAAATTCTGTAAGAGGTCTTAATAAGAAAGAGAAGTACCTTTTCAAAATCGTTATAAAGCGGCACAAGATTTTTAAAAAGAGACGGCACACCTTTACGCAGACCCGCAATTAAATAAGGAATAAGTAATTTTTCGAATTCGCTCCCTACAATACTCTCTTTTTAGTCTTTAGTTAAAAGCTTACAATTGTCAGCTAAAAGTAGATGTAATAAATTTAATCATAACTACAGTGTGTAAGTCACCTTTCAAAAAATACAGCGGAGCCCTCTCAGCTGCTGCCGATCTTGGTTTCAAGGCTAATACCGCTTTATAGATTTCATATCGTTCGTCAATGTCGTCCTCACCTGAAAAAATACGATGAAGCAATAGATCAAAAAAATTAAATTCGTTTACTATGCTTTTCACTGTGTAGTCCAATCAGCTAAACAAAAAAGAAGTGAAAACCTACTTAACCCCCGACATTCCTCAATCCTTTTGAAGTAGTTTACATTTTCAGGATTCCTCTCCACCAACCTCCAATATATTTTTTCCGCCTTTTTCGGTTCACCAAGCTCCATCAATAAATTGGCTAAAATGTTCAATAAAATGTTCAAAGAAAAACAGTATAACCACATTAACAAGTCTTATACATATTCAAAACTGTAACTAAGCAAAGGATAGAAACATATTTTCTACTGTTTCAAAGATCCCATCAGTTACGCACAGTAAAGCTACTGAGTCTGAACAAACCTCTTGTCTCTAAGTATGTTACTTGATCAATGATTTGCGATGCATTCTCCTCAAGTTTCGTTAAGGCTAATTTTAACTGTCCAGATTCACGCAAAATCATATTTTGGTACAGAATCAACTCACTCTGTTCAAAACCAAACTCCAAATGCTGAAAACGACAAAAGCAAAAAGCCACACTTTTCCTTCTAGTAGTAAAGAAAACAAGGCAAAAAAAAAACAAAAGAGAGGAATAGTGGTACTTTGTTACTGTTGCAAAACTCGTTCACTATTTTCAAAGCCATGTCGTAGTCTTTTAAAAGATGATAAGCCGTTGCATAACCAATCCAAGCAATACGCTGCTGAGGTCGAAGCATCAGGAGATGATAACGAGAGTCCTAAACTGATGCTTGAAAGAAAAAATGACTGCAATACAACTGTTTTCATCAGGATCAACTAAAACTATAACAGTACAAATATGCACCAAAAGAGCAGTAAAGAGTGGAACTAACTCGATAACCATCTAAGTCCCTAGCCTGAATTTGTAACAAAGATAAGTCTCTCAAAACTTCCACATTGTTCTTGTCTAGCCTTAAAGCTTGTTTACATGCTTTCATGGCCTCGTCATACTTCTTCTCACTCTTCTGAACTAACCCGTAAACGTGCCAACAAATATGAGATTTCAAATCAGCCTAGAAAAAAAGCAATTTTAAAAACTGTAAATGAACGTACCACATGCAGACCCAGCAAAGAAAAGCGTTAAAAATTGGCAAAAAAAATAGAAATTACCTTCAACCCACGTTTAGCACTTTCTTGTGCCTCTTCTCTTCTTCCCATACAGTTCAGTATCAAACCTTTCATTGCTAATGTTTCTAAAGTTAATCTTCTTAAACATGCATCAGCTTCAGTACCAAATAATTAGTGGGAGATAAAGACGAAATTGAAGGCTGATAAACGACAGTTACTATCCTGGCATATTAATTAAAGTAACAATTCAAAACAAACCTCCATGTTCGCTAAATTGTGGGTTAGAAAGAATGAGCCTAGCGCACCTCAATCCATGTTTGTATTGTTTCTGTTGATAGTGTTTCTGAAAAATGCCACTCTTGCCTTAAAGTTTCTAATCGGACTTGTATGATCAATATAAAACAGCCTGCCATTTCCCTAACAAATTGTACCAACAACATGAAGCAAGCAGTATGAGGAAGATTTACGCACCAATAATTTGCGAAACAATGCAAGTTCCTTTGCAGGAAGCGGCTGACCGCTTGACTGACCAGGCGATGCCATTCTTCTGACCCAATATCCCCTAAAAAACAAATGGTGACTTTATCACAAGTAAGGCAAGTAAGTCACTGAAACGGATAAAGCCTGAAAATGTACACGTCCAATTCATTTACTGAGTTAAGCAGCACAAAAAACCTACTGAATATTTATGACTACAAGCAAAATTTTCATTCCTGGTTTTTAAGTAAGGACAAAACATAAATAAACTGAAGAATAATATCAGAACCTAAACCAAGGTACAGCTAATACTACCAAAACTATCCGGTGTACGACACAATAATTCACTGTTAGCTATAGACAACTATGATTTAAAAAAAAAACTATGTAGGTAATGAAAATAAAAAAAATTTTTTTTGACGAAAAGTTATACTTTAGCAATGATAAAATGATAAAGCATAATTTTCTTTTCCTGATAAAATCCAACAAATTTCTGAAATCATGCAGCACTCAAGGGAACATTAAAAAGTCACAAACCAACAGAGAGGAATATACGAGAGAAAAAAAAAATCAAAACTATATAGCTGAAGAGTAAAAAGAGACGTTAATATGCACACATATGTCACCCCAGTCTTCTCTTCCATACATTATGTCAGAGATGAACAACAACAACAACAACAACAAAAAAAACTTTTTCCCAATTTTAAATCAACCAAGAATGACAACAGAGAGAGAAGAAAAAAAAAAAAAAAACGAAAATATGAAACTGATATAATGAATTATTTCATTAAAAAAAAAATTTGTAGAAAATCTATGACACAAATAATACTAGCCATTGATACCACCATTATAATGATGACTACCATTAGTACTACTACTATCATAATCACTACCGCCATAACCACCAACAACAATAATAACATTAAAGGCAAAAATAACGACAAAAACAGCGCCAGCAGCAGCATTAATGACAACAATAATAATAATAATAATAACAACAACAACAACAACAACAACAAATTACTGACTAAAACAACAACAACAACAAAACAAATGTAGAAAGTAATAAAAAAGGAGAAAAAACCTAACCAAAACAGCGATAATGAAACAGAAAAAAAAATAGTAATAACTAAAAACAAACTTTGTATCATCCATACATTTGTTTCTTTCAATTTGTTTTCCACAAAGTTTAACTTTTTTTTTTTTT